AAGCTGCCGTAGGCTGCCCTTACCCCTGGCACAGTCTATGGGAATTCTGGGTTGTGAGCAGCCCACTGGCAGCCCTGGGGAGACTGTCAGAAATTAGAGCTTATGCCGAGAGCAGTTTCAGCTGCAGTTTCTGCAGCAACCCAAAATCCAGAGGGCGCATCTCCCACCTGCTGGCTTGGGCTTTCTGTGCTGCATCTCTCAGGAGCTGTAGCACAGAATCTTCCCCACAGCATATTAATGAAAGAATCCTAGAACCTGGGACACAGAAAATGATGGGATCAAAACAAAGCTCCAACTCCGTTAGGGCTAGATTGTGCCAGGGAAGCACAGGTGCATCTTGAGAGGTGTGGAGTTGCACTGCCCCACAGGAAGCTCCAGCGGGTTCAAAGACAAAAGGAGACAGGCCTGGATGGTGCAGAGGGTGTCAGGGGCCATTCACTTCATGTGGCGGCTCAGAGGGAGGAGTCAGGGAATGCAGAGAGAGATTTTGTCTTTTCCTTGTGCATCAGTTTAATAAATCCCTTAATACTTAGATGAGCCAAATTTGTGCCTTGATGCCACCTATGAACTTGAAGGGATGGGAATGGTTCAGAAAAAATAATATGCAAAGGGGGATTGCTCCTTTTGTTCAATAAATGGCTGGGTTTGTGTCTGTTCTTCAATATAGTTCTGCAATGTTGAGTCTGGTGTTGTGTCAAGTAGGCTCTTCTCTCTCTCTCTCTCTCTCTCTCTCTATATATATATTGAATGTCTCTTATGTTATTAAAGTGTTTTCACTCTTTATTGTCAACTACCATACTTGCATTTTTCTAATGCTGGGGCTGTTGTTTGCCATTTTTAATCTTTAATTCTCTTGGTAGTTTGAGAAGTAGGGCATGGATTACTTGTAGGAGAGCATTATTTCAGTCACAAGTGAGCAGACAAAACTTGCAAGATATAAAATACTCCACAATCCTATAGTCCATCAACTGAAGACCCAATTTACGCTGGATTTGGCAAAATCGAGACGATAGCCAAAACACAACCCATCAGCTTTCGGCAAAATCAAGTTTGCCTTTTCTGTCTCTGTTCTATAGACCTCTGAATAACTCTTCTTTGTTTATTACTACAATAGTGTATTAATTTTAACTTCACAAAGAGATGTCCAGTGTTCTGACTTGGGTCGTCAGCTGGAGTAAATGGGCATAACTCCACTGCTGTAAATGCCACTATGACTATTTTTACTAGCTGAAGATCAGGCTCTCTGTTTTTACTGTGACTTTTTAAAGGATTTAGAGTACATGGGTTTCTAACCTTCCTGGGCAAAGACAAAACAGATTAGGAATAAGAAAGTAATATATATATATATATATAGAGAGAGAGAGAGATACCTATCTCCTAGAACTGGAAGGGACCCTGAAAGGTCATCAAATCCAGCCCCTTGCCTTCACTAGGCAGGACCAAGTACTGATTTTGCCCCAGATCCCTAAGTGGCCCCCTCAAGGATTGAGCTTACAACCCTGGGTTTAGCAGGCCAATGCTCCCCCCACTGAGCTATCCCTCCCCCAAGTAGCTCAGCCTTGCTTTGGATCATTCTATGTTCCTGCTTTTCCCAACATGCCCAAGTGCCCTCCTTCAGGCATCTCAAACTCCTCTATACTCTGGGTCCTGTTCCTCCATTTCCAGGCACCTCGTGCCGTCATTTACATCTGCACGAAGCAAGGGCAACAGGGGTACAAAATGCTACCGAAACAGAATGGTAGTACTTTGCACCTGCTCGGTACAGGTGCACATGGCTGTTCATTCAGTCCAAGTCCCCTTCCACTTCCTAAAGTTTAATATTCTGTCCCTTGGACTTTGATCCCATTTGCGAGTGTGAATAAGGCCTCTCTCTGCTCATAATCTAAATTGAACTGATAGTCATGTAGCGTGGCAGCACTAGAAATCTAATGTCTCTACTTATTCACAGAACATGTGCAGCATAGGATGTATACTCATAATCCTAAAAACTGGCCTCCTCAAAGTTTCTTCTTTTCCAAGAAGGAGAATAAGTACAGCTCATTTAATTAGCCTCATTATTTTAAACTCTTGAGATCAGGTAACATCAGTTGTCCTTGCTCTGCCTTCTCCAAATCATCAAAATCCTTTCTGTGGTATGACTGGTCTCTACTGCTGGACAGGGCACTCCAGATCGGTCAAACAAGTGTCATAGGCTGTCAAGGCTGGATCCCCACTTTGACCTTTAGTTTACAAATGTA